CAAGATCGTGTCGCTAATTTTTTTTACATATATTGAATAAAAGTTTGTTAATGGCAATATTTCATTATTATTATTTTTTTTTTCAAAGTAACATTTGTGTCTTTGAGGAATGAGCATCTTTTAAATAATAATCTTACTGTGACCTTTTATCATTCTTTTTCCAAAGAGCATTTGTAATTCTACAGAATGCTTAGATATTATGTGCAATGCCTAGGTAAAGTATGCAATAATTCTCATATTTCATACTTTGCATAAAAACAGGCATTCTGTAAAATGCTTTCCTATTCTATAGAGTAATGGTGTTTCATACATTGCAGGTAACATAAACATTATTAAAAAGCAGGGGAAAAATTTAGTGCATCTCTGTTACTGCAGATGCATTCAAGAATAACTGCATGTTGTTCAGTGTCAGTTTTTGAGATGAGTGGTCTTGCAGTAATTGATCTTGCATTAATGAGTTATGACTTGTGCCAATGAGATGTTATGGAATTACCAAGATACTGAGATTTATGATGTTTTCTCCTAAAATAGTCAAATACGTGATTTTTATTATGTGAATCCTTATTTTTGTCAAATAGATGTTTGTGTCCTTGAAATTTTACTCTTCTCATATTTTCTGATCCAACATTACAGATCGTCTGAAGTTTATGAAAAGAGGCTATAAACAGCATAATTAAACTCTTGTAGTATGTGATTTAGTTAAATTTTGCTGAATAACCATATTATATCACTCAGTACAAGTCGGTTGGTGGGTCCTTTCAGAGGATTTAACTGAGGGCAGTAGGTGCCTGCATTAATCTTTTATTTTCTTGGAGTTTAAAATAAACCATAACCTCCATATTCCACCATGATACAAAGACTGTATCTAACAGGTTTTTCTAGGAGACTTAGCTTCTCATTTGGATTCAACCACTGTTTTCATCACAGTGCAAATTGGTACTATGTCTGATAAGTTTTTCAACTGACTTTGTGAAGAATCCAAATGATAGATGATGAAAACTTTCATACCTTAAGTAGTCGTTTTAGGAGTAACAATAGACAGAAAGATATTACATAACTTCTTTTGGTAGCGTTTAATTTCTTGATTTATCTCTGATCAAGGATCTAGTCTTAGTAAGTTTTGCATCTTAAAGTTTAGCTGTAGTATTGTCATTCGAATGAAGAAGAAAAGCGGTGTACTCTTTCCTCTGAATTTTAAATTGCTCATTTTCTTTTAATATACTGAATTACATATACTGTTTTACATTGTTGCTATTTATTACAAGGATTTTATAGACTCGGTTTTTTTTTTTTTTTTTTTTTTTTTTTTTTTGTTTTAAGTTATTGATGTTATTTGTAACTACGCTAAACTTAAAATGGGGGCACCTACACCATAAGATTGTCAAAAGGCCTTACAAGGTGACAAATTTATGAAGTTTTTCTATGTAATATGATGTATAATTTTTTTTCTGTCAGAATTAATTTTGTAGCAGGAGAACTTCACTAAAGCCACCTTGATTCTTCCTTGCACTACTCATTGAAGTAATGAGAAAAATATGTAAAAAATAAAACTGTTTTCTCCTACCACAATACCCATCTGTTGGCACACCCAGTCAGTATTGCTACAGTCTGTTTAACATTTACCGTGAAAAACCTCCCTCTATTTCTTAACTGATGGTGTATGGATTTGACTTTACCAGCATTATCAATTCAATATTGGTCACTTTCCTTGGTTGTCCACATTTAGGCTTGTCTTCAAGATTAAAATTTCCACTTTTAAACTTATTAAGACATCCTTGGCATTAACATTCATTGAGAGCAAGTGGGTATACTGAAAAATAAAATACACTGGCTGGCTTCTTCAGCATTTGTATGGTATGGAGATGCTTGTTAGGTAAGTATGGATATGGAGAATATGCAGTTTATTATATGACATTATTTTTTGAATTAAATGTTAATTCATCATTTAGAGATTATTAAGATTTTTGAGCAAGAGACATTAAAAATAAACTGTGACTTTGCCGAAATTTGAACTACAAGATTCATCCAACTATTAACAAGAAAGAGGTGCTAACCATATATACATGGGGAATTGTAGTAATCTCATACAAATTCAATGAGATTGGATAAGAAAGGGTATGGCATCAAGATTCTGTAAAAAGTTTGATTGCAAATAAATCACTTTAGTATATTTTCATGCATGTGAAGTCTGGCGAGCTCAACTCCTGCATTGAGGTATTTCCTGTTCTGAATAAGAATTTTTGCTGATCTGTTTGAAAGAAACATACTGACTTCATTAGTAAGTGATGAATTTGAAAATAATTTTTGTGAATGCTTGGAACATGGTGTTGTGAAACTCAGCCAAGTCAAGGGTGAGGAGAACCAAAGGTGCTCTAGATTAACTACGAAAAACTGAAAATTCATTTTGAAAAGAGAAACTGATTATTAATTTTTTGTTCTGGTACACGTAAGAATTATCAAAAGAATTTTGTATTATGAATAATCCAGCTAATTATGGGAAGAATTAAAAGCATTAATTTATTCACAAAAATACCGAGATTTCATAATATTGTATATACTGATTTCTAATATGCAAGTTATTATTGGAATTAATGTACTGAATAGACTAAGTTTGCATAGAAAACATTATACCCACATTAATAATTAAAAGCATTAATTTATTCACAAAAGTGTGGAGATTTCATAATACTGTATACTATATACTGGGTTAGAGTAGAAAGAAGGGTACTCCTTGTATTATAGCAAAGTTGTTTCATTTATGGTAGCCTGAGTAGTTGAATGTTATGGAAACCCTATTATGATGTAATCTGTTGCAAAATTGCTGTAAATTCGTAAGGGCTGCAGTGTGTGTAGGTTAGGAAGTATATTGCTTGTATTGTGGTTTAGATGGTAAAAAATGGCTGAATGTGGTAAGATTAATTTGAAGTTTCTGTGCGATTTGAAAAGAAAAGGGAAAGGAGCATTACTTGACTGGTGTGTAAATGAAGGTTTACTGGCCTGTTTTTAGGAATGAAATGCATATGGTCTGACTATAATGGCGCTGCAGAGTATATATTTGACTCTTATTTTGTGAATTTATGTGGCGACGGCAGTATATAGATTCTAGTTCAGATAATTTTAGGAAGATTTTGGATGCTGTTAAAGGAATTTTGTTTTACTGAAGACATGTTAATTTGTAAATAAGGTAGGTGGATATTTCTTTTGTGTAGTGCAAAGATGAATTTCCTTTTTTATATTATTTCATTGTTTAATTTAAAATGTAGTTTATTGAGATTATATATTTTTTTGTTGGCTGCTTCTCTGACTTTTTAAGTGAATATAGTTCAATGTGTACATGGACAAAGTCAGGGGAGTACGCAATGCCTAGTTTGTGCAATTTTGTGATACTTTTTTTACTTGAAACTAGGTTGATGTATAGATGGATAAAGGGAGTGCACAATGCCAAGTTTATGTAATTCTTTGATACTTTTTTAAGTGAAAATAAGTCGATGTGTACATGGTTACTGAGTTTGTGCAATTCTGTGTCTTGTTATTTTGGCTCTGTGTAGCGGCGATTTTTGCTACACAAGAGGAAGAAGTAATTTTGTTGGACAGTATTAAATACATTTTTTGAGAAAATTTAAATCCAGAACGGTTACTTACTGGTGTGATAGATAGTCTTTTAATCTTGGCGGAATGTTTTTACATTTCTCATTAAACATCAGTTTTGGAGAATTTGTATTTACGTTGATGGTTTATAACGAAATGCTAATTATTAATTGTTCTCAATTACTTCTTTTAATTTTGTTATCCTTGACAAAACATCGTTGCATATGTTATATAAAAATCGAAAAAGTACAGAAAACTTTTCTTTTTTAACTTGCTGGTTTTCGTTGCATTGGTTCAAAATTTTTGTAACGCTGGGATATCAATATTTCATTATCCAAGATATATTCATTTTTAGGAAGGACCCAGAAAAATTGTTGCGATAATTAGAAATATCTTTTTTTATAAGCTAAAGAGGGGGAAGGGGAGAATTTTATGAGTCTTGCATTTAACTCCATATTAAATAGAATTGAATTTTATATTTAAGAAATTGGTGCAAATAATGCTATTATATAAAAAATGGTATATGTAATATCAGATTAGATACTGGGGGCATATATATCTGTAATAATGTATTAATTTAGTAACTGTAAGCAAAAACTATTCGTATGTGAAACATGAAAAGTGTTAAGCTGGTAGGAGAGAGTTTATTACACATGAATTTTATTTTTCCGAGTGGAGTTTTTAATACCGTCACTAAATTCATTTGAAAATAAAAAGTATCTGAAGTGTATTTTAATAACCGTCTCATTTGAATTACAATTTGTATTCATCTTGTAACTGTCAGAAATAAAATCTAAAGGAATATGGAGAAAAATTTTAAACAAATCTTTAAGAAAAATGGTCTTCCTAAAATTTTAATGTGACTAAAATGAGATTTATCTGCTTATATTCATTTCAATACTTAATATCGTGTTTAAAACTAGATGCCATTTGAATAAAAGAAATGCATCAAATACATTAATTCTGTTTGATGAATAATTCAAGGCAGCCATTACGGATGTATACAGATGAGAAGAATTAGTAAGATCAGCTTATTTTCTGAATAAAACGATGGAGACAGTCATAAAGTGTTATAATAAGTTGTGAGATTTCTTTGACTATAAGTGCAGGTTTTGCAACATGTATATAACCAGAACCTTCTTAATAAGAGTAACAAGTTTGTAAGCTTAACTAGCTTTATAAGCGTAATGTTCTCATGTTGTATTTATGAAGTATGTGTAATTATTTATCTTCTGTTAGGTGATGGAACATTGTTTAATAATATGAAATTGACTGTCCATTTACAACATTTTGCTCACCATTTATTTTTATATTTATCAATAAAAATTAATTTCTTTTTCATAAATATTAGGGTTACTCAGGTAAAACAGTAAACAGCATTATCATATTGTAGTTTCTGCGAGAAAAGAAAAAACTGTATACATGCTTTTATTTTAAATATTTTAATGCAAGACAAATAACAGAACAATAAACTTGAACAAATGCACTTTTTGGATAAATTAGCATTGAAAAGCTGACAAATGCTTTGGTATATAATTTGGTTTGATATATAATTTAGTTGCTGTTTTGAAGATGTAGAAAGGATAAACTAGAAGAGGTATGCAATTTGTCCATATTTCTTGTAGAGGTTTTCTGAAATCTGAACAGGGTCACCTAAAATAGTAAAATCATTTTCAAATTTTGTGATGAAAAGTATAAGAAATATGCAATTTTTTATTTATATTGTCAATTATGACAAAATAAATAAAAAGTTGTGGTAATGATAATCTTGATTCATTATTGCTTTATGTGCATTTGCATCATTATATATTAGGTATGTAGAGTCATTAGGTTATTTTGAAGCAGGAGACGTGGAAAATGTGCAGTGTCCTTCCCGGAGCTTGAACCTGGACTGCTCGAATACGCTCCGAATGTGCTACCATTATATCACGAATGGATCGATCGAGAAAATACCTTGTAGGTTCAGTCTGATAAAATAGGGAATTGTAAAATCTTAACAATAATTCTTCATGGTTTGATTTTCCTCTGTATATTTAAACCTTAGTAAGTGGATTGCATACTGCAAGTAACTCATTTGTTGACCCCTTATTTGCGGATTATTAATTTGCTTCCGTATTACAAAGGGGTGCTTTGAGGATTACCCTTGCATATCACATCATTTCGTTTTAATCTCTATGGGGATAGTCAGTGCGTTGGGAGCTAGAGAGTATTCTTCTCAGGTAACCATGTAACATAGTGTACATTCTGCCAGCAGCTTGCAAGACTCAGCTTCGTTTTTTGGAGACGATGCATTTCACTTTCAAAGTTTCCTCCTTCTTACAAATAATAACCGTATACTGGACTTTGAACTTAAATGTGTTAAATATCTGAAAAATTAGGTGTTTTATACCTTTTGAACTTTACACCTTTAACTTTCTAGGTGCTAGACAAAAACTAAAAAAATCAAATTCATCATAAGATCAATAGTATAGTGGTAATGAGTTAGTACAATAGGGCGCGTTGTGAAGCCTACTAGGGAAAAACAATAATCCAAATTCAATAAAAGCTCCATGTTTCTTAAAAAGCCTCCCGGCTCAAACAAATGGACTGACATGACAGCCCACCCCCGAAAAGTAATTACACAAGATAAATAAATGCAATAAAATTATAAGACAAACACATTTATTAAATTTCTTGAATAATTCTAACTGGGTAAACTGATCAGTTCCCTACCATAATGATACTAAGCAAAAATAACACATATCAGACTAAATTACAGCTTACAATAATTAATAAACCTTGAGATGAAAAGTAACACTTATCTCATTCCAAAATTAACGTACGCATATTAATTTGTAGGTTTACTATTTTGACATTCAATAGCTCACAAATTAAGCTGATAAATAAATCTTTAAACCTTCATCTACAGACTTTAAATAATTGGTAATTAACTAAAACTTCTCGAATCCTCTCAGTTTACCATATTTTACAAGTTATTACCACTTAATTTCCGGTATATTTACATAATTTAACATTACTCAATTCAGAGATATTAGTAAAAGGAAAGATAAAAAAATCATCACTCACAGGGTGAAGTTCACACATAAAATTCCTGATTTCTCGGAGTGCCATCATCGACGAATAAAATCGTCCTGCTCATTTTGTTGATCCTTCGAAGAAATCGGGAATGCCATCATCGACTTGATTAATACGGAGTTTTAGATAGTTCAACAGGTAGTCCAGCTTATTTCGTTGACCTTCGAAGAAATTCACAAAACCCAAGTTGTGCTGCTTGCTGGATGCAGGTCAATGATACACACTGCTACTATCAGGCATGCTTCAATCAAGTCAAAACCACAGGAAAAATACTTGTATCAAGCAGCTTCTTTTAAATCAGGAACATTCTTAATCAGGTACTCAATCGCTTCAAGAAAATCAAGACCCAAGGAAAACACAGATATCGAGATTCTTCTAAATCAGGAACGCTTCAATAAACCAGGAAAAAAACGCCTTGAAAGGACCCAAAAAACACTGGTCAGTAAAAAGGAGGGATATCTAGGACGAACACCTGTATTAGGATCACCTCGAGAATGTCTAAATAAATTTCTCGGAAAAATGTAACGAAGAAGCAGCGAAGCTGTATGTTGCGTAGAGCACTTTGTCTCAACTCGAGCAAAATTCTCATCAGCTGAAAGCCCAGCGATATGAACCAGCGGGCTATGTCGTTCGCGAGAGCAAGACCCGCAAGGGGTCAAGCCCCTACTCTTTTCCCCTTTTCCTTTTTACTCGAAAAATCAGAGTCCGAAAGAAATCTAACAAGGTGCAACTTCCCAGGAAATCTCGGTCTCTCCGAGTAAATATATGTAAATATACCGGAAATTCATAAAATTAAATCACACCGATCCCAGAATTTTACTTTAACTGAGAAAATTCCACTCCCACGACGAATCAAAAATAAGAATGAATAAGACAATGAAGCCAAACATGTGTACTCAGAAACGTTGGAAAGAGGACCCCCTCCAACTAACAAGCGGAAAATAAGTTATACGAGAATCCAATTACCTAAGCTTACAGCAACCCCCACTGTCTTGAATTAAACATAATTGCAACTATAACAAAGCGAAAGCAAGGCGATTTTCGTTTCAATGCCATTAGTAAAAAGGCCACCAGCGGGAACATTTGAAAGTATCTCAGTATGAAGTTTTCTTAAGCAATGCAGATTATCTGCCTCACTTTAAGAAGCGATGGCTGCCCAAAAATTTTTAAAAACCGAACTTCATCAAATTCCTTAATTTTTAACATAATAATGATGCAAGCCACGAAATGGACAAGCCTAAAAACCCCCTCCTAATGAACAAAATAACATCTAGCAGAAGAGATTCCAAATTTACTTTTATCTTAAAACTAATTTATTAATTAGCAATTCCAAATTTACTTTTATCTTATCTTAATCTTACTCCGAAGTAGTTAAAAACACTAACCCCAATAAAAATTTTATCAAATTCTTTTGCTCTTTGAGGGAGCTTGAAAACATCTTTGGAAGCACTAAATTATTCTAATTAACATTTCTTATTAATAACAACTTGTAATTCTACCTATGGTTTAGTTTGCTTACATTTCCGTCGCTTCCCCGGTTGAGACGCAAGACTCGGTTCCTTCACCTAAAACAGAGCAGTCAAGGTCGCGGTCAGTATTTGGGAGGGTGACCACTGCGAAGGGTTGCTTCTCTTCTCGCTACTTCCGCGGTTTTCTATATTCTTAATAATTATTAATATTATATATATAAATTCATTTATGAAAATGTATTAACATTGACTTAAACGAAAGCATAGTTAAATATAGCATTACATTACAAATATTAATATAATAGTAACCATTTATTAAATATTTAAGTGCGAAGATGATTAATTGTAAACAAAGTATGCAAAGCTCACTACACAATAAAAATTTCGAATATAAATAAGACAAAAACCTAATTCTCAAACAGCAGCTTTATGCTTTATGCACTAACATTTCAAATAAAAGGAATTCCGCCAGCAGCCTGCACATTTGCTTCATCGCACATTGGCTTCGATTCGAAAGTCGCCTGAGGAGTCAAGCTGGTTTACATTATGTAAACATTTACTAGAGCTCACCTTGTTTTCCCATTAATATTCTTTAGTTTAAGATTTAATGCAAATTTTTTTCGAAACCACTTCGTAGTTTCGACATCCATGTATACAACTTGTCTCTTTTTTTTTTTCGCTTGGGAATGAAATCATTAAAATTTACAGTCGATTGCGTTTTCCCACTTTAATTTTAGAAAAGTTGCTGTCACGGCTTACTGCAGTCTGTATTTTCGGGAAACTTCTATTTACTTCATACCTGTACCTGTGTCTTTAAAAACATCGAGTTTACTTTAAAGAACATTTTCTTCCTCGGAGACATGTTTTCTTATGAGGTTCTTAGTACTAGATGCGACTATACGTTATCAAAAACGTGTGAGCAAAATGAAGCGTCCTCAGGGAGTAAGACCACTTACTAATGATTTTGTGCAAGATTCATTTACATAAAATAATTTTAGAGTTCCTGCAATTCAAAATTATGTAGTTGGATAATAATATGCGCATTGAAATTCTAACTTAAAAGTGTAATTTTTTAGTTATTACTGAGTATTTTTTAACATATAAGCATAAAAAATCGCAAAGGTCTATGGAAAAATTTTACTTAAGTATGAGATTCAGAAGGTTGAATGTCAGTCGCCTCCATCGCCAACATTTCCAGCTGTGTAATCTAGTTAGATGTCCTCTTCATGCAACTTACTCAAGAAATATTGACAACATATAGAACTATTACGGCATAGGTTTAAAAATTAGCTTACCTGTTGGATAGTGTGGATAAACTTCACGTCCCATATTGAATGGAAATTCAACATCATTAAATACGTTTTTGTTGAAATCACTTTGTTTGAAAGGTCGCCTGTTTAATATACAGCACTCCAAATATTTCAAGAAGTAATGCCACCGCTTTCGGTAATATCTGCATATAAACAAGCAATGTATGTAAGTGGTTTTCAAAGTAGTTTGTCAGAATTATCAAACTCATTTAGGCGGATTGTATGCAGTTTAACGGCATTACTCAAAGTTATAGTGTTACATAGACCTTGTAGATGCGCTTTATTATACGAACTCCAAAAGAAGCACGCAGTATTGCATATACACCGAAGAGCCATTACATTAACGTCACCCTCCACCTATAACAATGGGCTCGCCCAGGAACAAAACCACTGCGCTTAAATGGCGCGTATAGTGTACTGTTCTTGTGCAGTTGTGAGCACATATCGAAAGTTATGTATGAATGGTGAAACGACAAGTCGCAGGACAGCAGTGTGTCATCAACGGCGCATTAATTCCAGAGAAGAGCGGATATTGCTAGGCATTGTTCGCTGTGACCGAAGAGTTACAACAGTGGCGACCCAAACAGTGTTTACGTACATCGCTGCGTATGGGCCTACGCACCCAGAGGCCGATGCATGTCCCTTCACTGATGGCACGTCATCGCCAGTTGCGTCTGCAATGGGCTAAGAAAAATCGAAATTTGACTTTAGAAAAATGGAAGAAAGGTGAATGGTCCGACGAATCACGTTTTCTGGTCCATCACATAGACGGGCATGTGCTAATACGGCGATTTCCAAACGAAATCCTGGCTCCCAGGTGCACCATTGGGTGGAGAGAAGCCGGTGGCGGGGTCTTATGGTGTGCGCAATGCTTTCATGGAGCATATAAGGACCCATAATCCTCACAAAACAATTTCTGACGTCTGTGCACTACGTGAACATCGTTGCAGACCAGGTTCACCCATTCATGACAACCGTATTTGCGGTGGGGGATGATGTTTACCAACAAGATAATGTACCATGTCATAAGGATCGAATCATCAGGGAGTGGTTTGAGGAATATTCCAGTGACTTCCAAGTCATGGCTTGGTCTCCAAATTCATCTGACATTAATCGAGTAGAGCATTTGTGGTTCCAACTGGAAAGCCAAATTCGTACTTCCGCGCAACGTACGCGAGAGCACGCCTCCAACGTGCGGGAATCGTAGGACCAGTTGGTGAGCGCTTAGTACCAGATACCTCAGAGTACGTATCAGCACCTTGTGAAGTCTATGCCACGCCAGATGCTGGCAGTTTTGAGGGCTAAAGGTGGCCCTGTATGCCACAGGGTTGTCATAATGTAATGGCTCTTCGGTGTACGTACACGCATATAGTAGTTGTATCTGTCATAGTTACCTAATAATTCATAAAAATGAAATTTTGAAATGTTATACTGAAAAGGAAAAAACATTGAAATGCTGTGTTTGCTGTGAAGTAATTTTTTTTTTTTTTTTTTTTGATTACTTGTTATGACTCGACCTGCACTTTGAGAATCAATGCTACAGACACTAAAAATTGCGCATTGTTAAATAAAGGAAGCAGGTGGAACATTCAATTAACTTTTCATAGTTTAACAACAGTTTACCTTTGCCGGTGTATTATTAAAGTATTATAGCATCATACTAATAAGGCTGTAAGATATAAACACTTTAATACACACCTTTATTATTACGGCAAGTATTTCAAGGAAATCTTTGAAGCTTTTAGTGATTTTAGCAGCAGTAACTAATATTTAGGGATGTAATCAATAAAAAGGCTTTACCTTTTTACTGGTTACCACCCTAAACCCGTCTTTTTATGTCTGATTTTAAAAAAAAGCATAAATAACTTTGTAATAAGCTATTTTTCTGCTGAACCAGCAACAGGCATATAGTCAAATAACATTGATATCTATTTACATAACGATATTTGATTTGATAGCTTTTCTCATGAGAAAGTACGCAAGTTTTAGTCATTTGTTACGATCGCAGAAATAATTCAGAGACTATTTTTATATATAATTTCTAATAGTTATATCTTCAGCATTCCTTACCAAAAGGTTTTGGAAACAAGCTAAAATATTTGCTTCCATTTAAATCAACTTTAAAACCGTACATGTTCTTGAGATCGTTTTATAATTAGCTGTATAAATGAATGTTGACTCATCAGTTATATTCTTATAATATTCCAAGGAATGAAAAAGAAACTTAGAGTACATATGCTGTATTTTTGCGTACTTCGAAGATCTCAGAGAGATTAATAATCAGATAAGTACATTGTACTCTTAAATTTGCTCTGAAAACGTTAAGCCTGCCCGAAGTACAAATTAAAAAATAAAAGCAGTTGTAAGTTATGACATAATTTTCTTTAACTTATTGAAGTGGAGTATTAAACTCCGAAGACGTATATATAGAATAAGAGTCGACACTATAGAGAAATCTGAATTAGTGTATTAAATTTGTCAAAGATAGCAATAGCTCATTTACTAAAGACCAAACTTGGAACCTCTACATCTCCCCAGATGTACTATTGGCTATTGAAGTTCGATTTTCCTTCCTCACTGTCTTTACTCACAGTGGTTTTAAAGTCAAGTTTTAAAGCAAATTATAATATTTATAGTACTCTTAAATTATATTTTAGAATAGGAATTAAATACTCTATTATTTTACAATTTAAGTGAGGAATAAAGAATAGTATCTGTGACTGTCACTCAGAGAGAATTAGCAATGAATTCCTTTTAACGAAGCTTTTTCCCAATAAAAAATTTCTGAGGCTCTTAAGTTTCATTTTTACATGTGACGTAATTGCGTAATATATTCATACCTCACCCCGAGAGCCTAAATTCTATCATGAACGAAATGCCAGTGTTTCCTTTTAATAGGTAAAGTCAGAAACCTATTGAAAGGAATTTGGTTTTAATTCATGTTGGCTTAGATGTGAAAACCTATTTACTTTTTTGATATTTTTCCTGGGTATCCCGTTGTCTTTGTTGATTTCCTGCGGTTTTTTCCCTCGTTATAACTGATAAGTCAAAACTATTTCTTACTTCTTAAAGTATTTTTATTACATGTATATCCCAAAATTTAATGGTCTGACTATCTAAAAGTAAATTTTAATGAATTCGTGTTTCCCTTGGATAGACGTGCTCTACTATCTAGCTATTTGTTTAATAATTAAAATCGTAGCTTCATTATAAGATTTTCTTTCCTCACTCTCGTATCCATAGTCATTTCTGCGCATCAAAAGTGAGTAGCAGTTTTCTGGAATGACTATGCTATGGTTTCTAAACATTAAGTAATTATTTTTAAGTTCATCGGCTTATCGGAAGTTTGCGATAACTTTCCTGAATAAGGTGCATTCTCGAATCGCAAGCGACAAAATGTTTCCATTAGTTTCATTCTGTGTATTTACTTCCACATTCTGTTTACTTCAAAAAATTAATATTCTCTTTATCTCAATAATATTTTGTGATTTTTTATGCAGTTGCTGTTGACAGCTTTTAACTACTTCCTCCTGCTTTTTGTTTTTAAATTGCGTTTTATAACTGGCTGTGCTAAAGTAACACCATAGAAATGCTATCATGAAATGCTGTGGTTTGTTTATAACATAGCCATATTTAAGATGTAGCTTAAAAGCAAAGGCAAGTACCCTTTGATGGGTCTATAAGAAAGATCGGAGGCCCTGGAAATTTGATGCGGCCAGCAGAAACGTAAATGGAAACCACCTTCAGAAAATCGTCTTCTTTAGGGTAAGAACGAAAGAGTTAATGATAGAAAAGTGTTGTTATTATATTTCTGAACAATCCTTTAACTTTGGAAGATAGCTATATTTTCACACAAAATTAAGGATACTTTACTCGCAGCGGTGAAGAAAAGGGCTATCTAGATGCCGTGCCTTCCTACTAGGGACTTTAAGCCTACGTGGTTGATGGCTAGACACCAAACAAAGGAAAAAATCCTGACCATCTAAGACTGAGAATTATGTATTACATTAATTTTTAAAAAATTTGAAGAGCAAGGCGAATTATGAAACAAAATCATAACAACAACAATGGCTGTCAGTTATAACAGTAAAGTTAATGTGGCCGAAGTCGTTGTCTATACAATTCTACAGCCGTCCAGTTCAAAACTGCCGCAGAATCACCAAGAAGTTCTCACATTGATGTAGGTGATGTCTTTCATAAATTCCATCGTATTAGGTAGAAGACAGTGATGGACATCGCATTAAACAGAAGACAGTACAGCTATCTTATTTTTAAAACATATGTCAGATACATTGCTGGACATTAAAATTGCTACACCACGAACGAAAACAAATAGCAGAATCTTATTTATTTTATGTATACACTATAGTGGGAAGAAGGCACGATTAAATTTGCAAGTGATTTGAGGGTACCAGCGTACAGGATTTAAGTACATTGAGCTGGCTGTAATCCGGCTGGGCATCGAGTTGAACTGAGCTCGAATGACAGAAACGAGTACTTAATTCTTTGCAGCTTCAGCTTTCCATTAGAGTTCATCAATCATAGTGGCTCGCAAGTGATGGCGTGCCTCTCTTTTAGCAACTCATGACCAGTTGTTCCCAGTGGAAAAAAGATCTGGAGAACGTGATGGTGAGCGGTAATAGTCGAACACCCTTTATATCGATAAAGGTCAGAACAGTACGGCTAACATGCGGTTGTACATTACCTCTTTGAGAAATAGTATTAGGCAGGCGTCGAACATAAGGCACAACCATTATCCTTAATACGTTAAAATGCATCACATTACTATACGAATAAGAGGTTACCAGGATAATATGTCCAATGCCATCCCATACCAGGGCGCCAGGTGCTGGGCCCCTATGAGGATGATGAATGCCAGCTAGGAACGTTCGTTCTCCTTAATGCTTCCACGCATGGATGCGTCATTCATGATTGACGTGGTGCCACCCTTGTGTCCGGTGTCTTTGTTCGTAGAATCTCTGTAGGCGTCTTTCTCTCTGCCAAAGCGTCAAAAGAAGCTGCAACAATGGGCGCCGTACTGACAGTATGTGGGGCTACAGAACATTATCTCACGGTCCGTGCGGATACTTGTTGTCCTGCACACGAGCGCGCTCCGAGTACGGGACATGGCTGCATGATCCCG